ATTTTCAATTAAAAAGGGTTTGGTTTCTTGTGAAAGATGAGGTATATGTGTGTGTGTGTGTGTGTGCACTTGATGAGACCGCGCACATCAATGATTTGTCTGTGTATATGTTGGGTGTGTGAGGGTAGATGCGGGCGATGTAAGGAGGTGTTGTCAAGATGAAGTATCTGGCTTTCAAAGCCAAGGACTAGTCTTGTTCATGTTTTTTGAACTTTTTCTGAAGGGTTGCACCTGTTGTATGCAACCGGGCACATTGTTGTGATTTACTGTACGCATAGCGTAGTGATGATTTCTCGGCTTCCATGTGGTCCTGGTGGTGCATTGGTGTGCAAGAAGGGGGAAATTTTTCAAAAAAACTTGAAAAGCTTTATAAATAATAAAATAAAACATATTAAATGTAGTCTTTTTTTTTTTTCTTCTTTTAAAAGTTCGACGGCCTTGAGATATGATCATTCAACTGACCGGCACTAGGTAATTCAGGATTGTAGTATTTTACTCATCTGCTTCATGTGTCTAAGTTTTCCAAGAGGCACGAAGTATTGATTCGATCAACGCATTTCGCAATGTCGGCGTTAAGCACAGTCGGGTTTGAACTCAGGTCTGTATTTCAACAGTTTGGGGATGTAGCAACTGAGCTAGGCCAGTCGATTCCGTGCTTTTCGTTTTACTCAGAGAATGACTCAAAAGGCCAGTCGATTCATACTTATCATTTTACTCAAAGAATGATTCAAAAATCAGTTGTAGTCGACTTCTTGCTTGAAAAATGATGCTTTATTTTACTATTATTTACTACTCTTTGTGAGCCGTGGAACCTACAACTGATTCTCTCTCGCTGTATTTCAACCAGGGCCCAAGGCCCCAATGGCACACACAACTCTGTGCACAGAGTTTTGTGTGCCTTTGGGGCCTTGGGCGCTGGTTGTGTGCACGTTCTGCAATTGCGAGCAGAATTCAATTCCATCCACCTGTAGAACATTTTGCACAAAATAAGATTGATGAATACCTTGTTGATCACTTTGCTGGAAGTCGTATGCATGTCTCGAAGACTACGCCATGCACGTCGGCTGAGTGTGAACACTTTGCGGAGAATATGGATGGGAATATCTGATTGTCAGGTTTGGTGATGGCTCCTCGTTGGAAATTTGAATGTGTTAGCTCGCAGGTTACTTGGCAAGATTCCAATGGTTGACATGCCCTCGAAAGGTGAGTCAGTTTTATTTGGTTATGGTGTAATGCTGCACCCTTTTCGCAACCCCCCCGCTCACCCCCACTCCCCCCCACTCCCCCACTCCCCCACTCCCCCAATCCCCATTTGCAAACCAAAACAGTATATTGATGGTAAACAGACTCAAATTTCTGCACCCTGCTTTTCAGTCATCTATCTCATGTTCCATTTGGGTAGTGTTTTGAAAAAAAAAGCACTTTTTTCTGCTGCGTGCAACATCAGAGAAATCCGGGCATTATATACTGCTCTCGACTGCATCAATTTTGCAACATCAGACAAATGCGGGCATTAGACTGTTCTCGACTGCATCAATTTTGCATCTTTGCAGCGGTTCGTTATCTGTGTGAGAGAGTGGGAGAGGACTTTGAGGGTTTTCCCTGTGCTTTCTCTGCGTGCAACACCTCTTGCGTCTCCATCCACCCTCCTCTGCACCTTGTCATCGCAGGCGGCTATGACGAAGCAGACGAAACAGCGATCGCATAGGAGGGGACGTGGACCAGGAGAACGAGAAGGAGATCCTTGGTGATGTGATAATGATGTCTAAACAGCGATCGCATAGGAGGGGAAGTGGAATAGGGTGGCGAGGAGGAGGACGCAGAAGATGATGAAAAGGAAAGGGGACAAGGAGAAGAGGGTGATCCTTGTTTGTTGTATGTAAGGGCAATGAAATTCTGGAAGGGAAGGAAGACGGGTGGAAGGAAGAAGGTGAAGGAGGAGGAGGAGGAGGGGGAGGAGCATCTTTTTTCCTTCTTTAGAAAGCTTAGGTAATCCAAGACTCCGTCCGCCACTCCCACACATGTACGGGAAGAGGGATCGAGGATGCTTCAGTATTTGGATAAGACTCCTCTCACAAGAACAGGCAGAAAAAATTAGACAGCCCCATTAGGATGGAAGAGCTACTCCTTGTCGGTTTGGAGTATAAATAGCAACAAAACCCCGGGCATAAAAAGTGCGAGTGTGAAGGCCGGAGTCCCGCACGAGATAGTTGGAGGCCGACTCCACAGATGGCACAAAATCTACTGACCAGCCAAAAAATTAACAAAATGGGGAAGTGGAACCAAACCTTTACATCCGTACTGGGGCGTGCGTTAATTATCAATTCTCCATATTCTTCATATTCTCCATGATGTGGTACTTCTCCATATTCTCCATGATGCGGTACATCGTGTCAATTTGGACCATACCTGACCACACAATCAAAGATCTGAACTGGAAAGCGAGAGCATACCTACGGTCGGGGGACCACAAACAGAGAAAATTATATACCTAAGGTGGCATGGCAGGCACTACATCACTAGGAGACCGGCACAAGGTCTGGCGACAATAGACCCCAGACAAGAAACAAAAGCCCTCCAAATCAAATGGATAATTAAACTGCTGACGAAACAATCGCTAGCATGGAACAAGTTGGCTCTTGATAGCATAAAGGGGTCTGGCGCCAATGGCATGCCCCCCACATAGAAGTCCAGGAGATGAAGATGAAGAGGGAGGCAGAGGAGGGGAAATGTGATGAAGAGGAGAAAGTGATTCATCATTTTTTATTATTATTTATTTATTTATTTATTTTTATTTTTGCTCCCCACCATCCCCCTTGCTTGATCCCTTGGCTTTGCTACCAGTGTTTGTATATTGCTGTATATGGAATTCTTGAAGTACCATTGTGTTCCTTGGTACAGCTGCTGATTCGTAGGTACGACTGCCTCCTTGGCCTTTTTTTTTGCCCTTTTTTCTTTCTTTTTGGGTCTTCGTGGTGGCTCTGATTTTATCCGCATGGAGCTGCACGTGCTGGGAACAGGGCCCAATATCTTTTTTGTTTAACTTTTTTTACACAGTTTTCAAAAATACCCTCCTTTTCTGTTTCCCTGAGGCCTGCAGTGATTTCCCTCAAACCACCACTACCTCCGAACCTCTTTTTGTCGATGCGGATTCCACCCCCCTGCGCGCCTAGGTTTGCTGAAAAGCCAGGTGCGACGTTTTGTTTCCCCTTTTGGATGGCGCGGCGGCCATTTCCATCCGGTGGCATTGTTCACGTGAAGTCTGCGGAATGTTACATTTTTGAATCTCGACCTTGCCCGGTGAAGGTAGCAGTGTTTTAATAAACTGCCTCCTCAGAGTCCTCACCCTATAAGATGGCCATTGGAAATGTGTGAACTCCAATGCAGGACTTGACAACTGGCTGGTTGAGTTGTGAGCCAGGGCCGATGTTCGAGGTGAAGGAGTACAGAGTCTCCCCAGTACTGCTGGCCATCTTCCCACGGGTAAGGAACACGTAAGCACAGAATGCCATCTTGTTTTTTTTTTTGGGGGGGGGAAGAGCGACTCCATGTTGTGGTATGCACGGCCCCCGTACGGGCCTTGAAGGGGCCCGACATTGGATCAAGAGGTTGTAGGGTGTGTATGCATTTAGGGGTGTTCTTTTGTTTTCTGGGTTCGTCTGCATTTTTGCTGATTTCCTTTTTTGTTGTTGTTCTCAGTCGTTTGCCTGTTCTGAGTCTGTTTGTCTGTTTGTCCGTTTGTTAGGTTGGTTAGGTTTGTCCGTTTGTCCGTTTGTCCGTCTGGGCGTTTGTCCGTTTGTTAGGTTTGTCCATCTGAATGTGCCGGTTACTAACGCCCACAACTACTGTCCAAGAGGATGATTACTACTACGGTACTACCGTTAACTCCGATATACTACTACTTTCACATCCCTCATCAATACGTACCTCGTTCTAACAAGTCCAGCGATCAAAATAGCCGAAACAAGCACTCATCTAGTCTCGAAACCTACGCTACGGGTTTGTTCATCAAAATAGCCGAAACAAGCACTCATCTAGTCTCGAGAACTGGTCCGAATTCATTCGAGCTGCATCCGATCCTAAAGCCTACGACAGTCTTAGCAATCGCTCCCTGTCAATTTCCAGACATCATCCTTTTTTGCTGCAAAGCCCCTCAAGGACCTTCTGGAAGAATGCATCTGGAAAACCGTTTGCGCAAAATTCACGCCTGCCCAAAAGAAGCTGTACTGGAATCTGGCCGTGTTCAGTCGTGTTTCTGTCGAGTCGGTAAAAAAAAACGGGCGGAAACAGATGCCACCTTTTGCCTTCGACCAGTCCAGGATCCGAAACCGTGGCCAGTTCTGATGGCCAGAGGCGTATCAGACCAAATTGTGGCCTCACTCTTGACCTTCTGCATGCATCCCGAAAGTGGAAAAAACGGCCGTACCTTCAACCTACACCCCAGAAAGTCCAAAGTCCCGGTTCGGTCGTCGGTCCTCTTGAGAGAGAGGTTTTTCGGGTAGCAATTTTCAAACCTGACCCTGATCTTCTCTGACCTTTCCAGATGCAACGACCCCATGCTGTTTTTCAGTCAAGTGGTAGGGGGGGGTATAAAGGGGAGCATCAGTGTGTTGATTCATGTGCTAGAGAATTAGGCCGTCGCTTAGTGGATGTCGTTGGAGAGAGAGAGAGAGAGAGAGAGAGAGAGAGAGAGAGAGAGGTGGGAAGGGAGGGGAATTTGTGCTCATATTGCATCATCCTAAAAAAAGCCTTAGACGCTTAGTGGATGTCGTTGTCATATTCGTTCACGGGATTTGTCTTCTGTTGGTTTATGCTTGTCGCTTTTTTGATTTTTGATGGATATCGAGGCAAGAGAGCCTGTAAGGAGTGGAGCTCGACTGATGTGGCCCAACAGAAAGGGTAGATTGGTCAAAGCTTGTAGATAGGTTTTAGAGAAATTTAGACTTGTCTTTTTTTTTCTTTTTTTTTTTGTCTGCTTGTTTTCAACTTGTTTTTGTCTAATGGCACATTACTATACCAACAACCATAGCAGTAGGGGGCCAAAGTGTCTGCTTCAAGTCCGCAGGCCTGGGGATTGCATCCCCGTACATTCCCATACCTCCTCGTCTTCCAAAACTTTGCTACCGTCGTCCCCTGGACATATCGCACCCTAATAGGGTAATAGTGAATTTCCAATTTTCCACAAGCTATATTTCCAGTCAGGTACATCTGCTAACATGAGGGTGGCTTGTGTTCGGGACTTGGTCCCCTTTTTTTTGTTCCTATCCCTCTGTAAATGTTGAATTATCGCAAGATTTACCATGCGCCCCCCAAACGTTGTGTTGAGACATTTTAAATGATTTTATGGACATTTTTTGGTTCTTGGCGTATCCAGTGGCCGTGGTCGACTGTGCAGTACATTCCAGTTCAAAAGCATGCACTGGCCTTTGGTTTATTTGCATCAAGCATTGCGCCGTTTGGTGGCTTTTTTGCGAGTGGATTCAAGCGTGCCTTTAAAATCAAGGTGAGCCAGAAGTCAAACGGTCGTCTGATGTGTGTGTGTGTGTGTGTGTGTGTGTGTGTGTGTGTGTGTGTGTGTGTGTGTGTGTGTGTGTGTGAGACAAATGTTTGTCGAGTTCGAGGGAGGGGTGTGCGGCTGTGTGTGTGTGTGTGTGTGTGTGTGTGTGTGTGTGTGTGTGTGTGTGTGTGTGTGTGTGTGTGAGACAAATTTGGAAATGAAATGGTCAGAGAAAGGGTGTAGAAAATGGACAGATGTTGACCTCTCACCTGAGTATTGGGACGACATTTACTTGACAACGGAGTCCTCACAAAACAGTCGAACGGTCTGATATCTGTTGGGGGGGGGGGGGAGAGGGATGAGGAACTAATGGACTCGTATACCTCTCACCGGAATATTGCTACCAGGTCTGCTTGCCATGTGGGTCATCAGCACGCGATGGCTACAGCTGTGTTCTAGACGGTTTTCGAAACCATGTTTGGTGTGTGCCGTAGTTGCGATGCACTCAAAGCTGCCAAGGTGGACCAAAAATAATCAGTTAAATTGAACTCATTGAATCTGATTATCAATGAATAGCTATAAAATTAAAAATACCAAAGAAATGCAAAATATTATAGGCTACCAGCCGGGCCGCCGGGGTCAGCTTGTTTGCCCGGGCTGCCCGGCCGTGCAAAGGGCTAAGAAGGTCCCAGCAAAAAAAAAAAAAAAAAAAACCTTGAAAAAAAATCGAAAAAAAAAAGTATATTATGCAGAAAAATAAACTGAACAACTTTTGCCTCAGGGTCACATCGAAATTCCTTACCGAATTCTAAATAAAAAATAATTTAAATAAAGTCTTTTTTTTTCGCAAATCGAAGAAAAAAAAAACAATGTTATGCAGAAAAATAAACTGAACAACTTTTGCCTCAGGGTCACATCGAAATTCCTTACCAAATTCTAAATAAAATTTAATTTAAATAAAGAGATTTTGTTTTTTGCCTCGGTCTGGCAAGTTGTCCGGGGCCAATCTGGTAGCCTAGAAAACAATTGAAAATTTTCAATTAAAAAGGGTTTGGTTTCTTGTGAAGTCAACAAATAAGATTTTGGACCTCGTGCCTGCTAAAAGTTGTTTAGAAAAAACTTTAACACCACGTGCAGGATGGGTTTCTGGGGGGGTGTTCTGCACACGTGGGGGTGCAACCCAAATGCTTTGTAAGTAGTGCTAAATACTCAATTTGTCAAATCGATTCCTGTGACCACTTAACAAGTTAATTATGTTTTTGGGACCATTTGCATTGCTTTAAATTTTGAACTTTTAATGTATATTACTATATTGAATTGAATTATTTGAATATTCAATATAGTGGGTTCCATCCAGCTCTGGCTGATTTTGGCATTAAGTTTCAAATGATATTTTTAGTATTTTTTTACTGAATTTTAGAGGTTAATGTTTTGCAAGGAAAATGAGCGAGAGCGATAGGCAGAAAACCAAATTGCAATATCACGCTGTAGACCAGATAGTCGTGTACCAAGCAGAAAGCACAATGCGCTGAGATACCAGCCAAATAAGGGCAATTCAATGAACTCAAAAATGGCAATGTCGATACTCTGTCACCACACCAACATAGTATCCAGTGTCGCTCTGCTCGATTGGCGCACGGCGCCCAGCCTACTCTACTCAGCCTATACTAGCCCACACTAGGTATATGCAACAGAAGTCACTTCTAGCTGAAGACCAATGTACGTGACCACGTCGCCAATGCAGACCGCCAACATTCACCAGGTGTGTGCCTCTTCCTCCTCTCAACCTCACCCCTGTCTCCCCCACAGCATGCATCCCCGACACCGGAAGGCCACCGTTCGCAAAACCAATGCACTCCAGCAGCCCGGCTATGGCAACCGTGCGCCCGCTGCCACCGCAGCGCCCCTGTCGCCTCTCAGCCCCCGCGTGCGCCTCTTGCCAGTGCGAATGCAGCCTGCTCGCGCTACAGTCGTGGCGGTAATGCCTGCCAGGCCGGAATGTGCCTCTGCTTTGCAAGGCACTTTCCTATACGGAAAGTGCACCCCAGCCCCTGGATGCCTGGACCTGGCATGGGAGTCCCCAGTACTCAAACATGCTTGCCGATGATAAGTAACCGGTCGGCTGCCCCCCCGAATAGAAGGGGCCATTGTTTACTTGGAAAAAAAAAAAAAAAAAAAAAAGAAAGAAAGAAAGACCGTCACTTGTTTAGTGACAGATCAATCTGCGAGGAATGAGCACTCACAATATCCGCTAGGCCGCGGCCTCACATAGCCCAAGGGGGCCCCCAGCAAGCAACGTGCCCGCCCTAAGTGAGGGCGGGCATCAGACTCGGGGCCCTAATTTTGTCATTTCTGCATTGAGGGCGCCAGACAGTTACCATGGACCAGTTGGTTACAGGGCAACGCGCGTGTGAGCACAGCACGCGGAGCCTCTGGGCTCACTCCACCAGCAGCATGGCCAGAAGCTCTCGGCCAATAAGAGAGCAGGCAGCAACACGGCTGGTGGCCCGACGGCCAATGAGGAAGCAGCGAGTGAGAGAGAGAGAGAGAGAGAGAGAGAGAGAGAGAGAGAGAGAGAGAGAGATCCTGATGGGAGATGGACTGATACAGAGAAGATTAACAAGGCCGCTGCATAAGGAAGACACTC